GTTGTTGTATTTGTTACCAATTTTTTTCAAAACCGATTTATCTCGCAAACCGTTCATTTTTTCGAAATAAATAAAGAGTACCATTTTTAAAGAAAAACCTTCAGAGTATCTAATAATAATATTTTCAGTTTGATAAAATTACTTCTGTCAAAATTTTGAGAAAAATTGTGATAGGGCCAGTCCGTTTCTGGACACCTGATAATAGCAAAAAGTTGATTTTAGCATCAAATCGTAGAGCTCCATGTGTAATACAACGTACGAAAATTTTATTAAAATATACAGGGTGGTTTCAAAGTTATAACTCTAAACGTTAATTTCTAGGTACCCCTTTGACCCCCATAACTCCGTTAGGGGGCACATTAGGAAAAAAAATTATAGGAAGGACTAATAATTATCCGTAGTATTTTTGCCTCCTGATCACGAATCCGGTGTCAGAATTGAGCTATCATATTACAGGAATTTCCTAACCTCAAAAAACAGGTCAAAAATAGCAAAAATTCACGAAAAATTAGACGTCTGTCTACCGTTTTTAGAAACAAACATACCAAATTTCAAAAAAATCGGAATTAGTATTCTCCAGATATTAGTAAAACCCTTTTCGAACATATTTATAGGAACTTTCTTTCTTATTTTTGGTCAAGGAAATTCCCCCTGAATTTTTTCCCAATATTAATGGGACACCCTGTATATCGCATAAAAAGTACAGACAACTTTTTTTTGTGTGGCTGTGTTATTTTTGCTGTTTTAGGAAGGGAACATAAAAGATACTAATCTAATTTATACAAAATATTTTTTTAAATCTTTTCAAGTTTTTACAAAAAAATGTCGCCTTTGAATTGTTACAATTGTTTAAAGCAATGACCTCTAACATTGACCTAGCTTAGCTGAACTGTACTACTGTTACTACGGAGGAGATAGGGAAGCACTAAGGAAAATTAAAATACTATGTAAAAGAATACGGTATGTTTCCACTTTTTTCTTATTCAGTCAGTGTAGCAGCGGTGCTAGATAAAATAAATAAAATAGCAACAAAATCAAACGGTGAACAGCAGAACCCCATCATGTTCTGAACGCTTCCGACTGGCAACGGCGGTTAGCCACAACTGTTCACTTGAAATGCCATATCTTTGCGTTTGAGAAGCAACTACTGCCTATTGACTTCACACCTGACGGGATTTGTTACATTCTTATTTTAGTTTTTGACTTAATCGGTTTACAAGAGTGTGTTCATTAAGTGCCCTTATGTGGTGTAAGTGTATAACCTTATAAAGTTATTTATTTCAGTACAGAGTATTTTTGTGTTTTACTTTTCAAGTTATTGTATGATATAAAAAAAACATGGATGTGTATCAAGAAAAAGTTGATACGGTTAGAGCCCACTAAGAAAACTTGTTCAGCGGCGGGGTATGAATGTTACTAAAAAAAAAAAAGTTAAAAGGAAATTAAATTTTCACGATGAAATTTGAAAAAATTAACAAATGTATACTAGCACTAATTACTTCTCATTTTTTTTACTTCTTTTCGTTGGTTATTAATGTTCTTCGCGTTCAACAAAAATTTAAAATTTTGAAAAATTATATTGAAAGTGTTGTTGCTTTTGGTGAATTAAAAGCGTGGTTGAAACTTTTGCAAATTATTTCTAGCACACCCGGTATAAATAGCTGTTCCATTATGTTAATTTGTATGCAGTTGATTAACACATCACCATCGCTATCAGTATTTTTCGAAAAAGCTAGCAAATCTGCAATATGACCATAATATTTCATGTTTATCACTTTTCAATATTTATGCAAGTACTACATAACTCCTGAAATCGACCTTCGGTATTTTTCTCGAATGATTTGAATATTTTTGCTGATATGCAAAATACAAGTCGATTCACTGCTGCAAACACTAACGGAGCTGTATACGGAAACAAATCCGCCAGGCTGATTGTGAATATTTGTAAAGTGACATTTTAAAAAGTAAGTACAACAATTATTTTTTCTCTATACTCATTGACCAGACATAGTTTTTAGATAAAGTAGCAGTATCAGTGGTAGTAGTACTACTAATAGTAGTAATGAAGTACTAGTTGAAGGAGTAATAGTAATAGTAGTAATGCCTGCATATAGTATGCACGACAAAAATCTTTATATTTTTTTGTTGCATTTTTTGAGGCCTTAATGCTTATGAAAATAAATTTGGGGTCCATGGCCAACTTTATGAGTAAATAATCATAAAAAAAACGAAAAAATATCGAAAGTTTCGGGCCATCTAACTTTTTTATTTTAAGAGAGAGAAAATTTATTGTAATAAAATTTCATGGCAACATTGATATTTTTCACCTGGTGTAAACAGATTTTTAAAATATCGTATGCAATTTGCTGCGCCCTCTACGCGGGCAAAAAAAAATTGTCATCAAAGCAGGCTGTGGCTACAAAAAAATTACTTTTTTTTAATTGCTTTCATGCGATATATTACATGTGGCCTGTATATTTTGTATTTATTACATTTTTTACAATTTTGGTATAAAAAATATAGATTAATGTAGAAATTGTTTTAAACAGGCCAACCACAAAAAATTTACTGAAATTTCTTTTAAGCTAATATCTGGCAGCCATTAGTTTACCATCGTAGAAGTAAGCTCGTACGATTTTGGTATCAAGAATTCTAACCCTAACGTTTACTGAAAACTTTTGTTGAAATGCAATTTCTGACGTGCCTTAATGGTTACTCTCTATCAAGAGTGATAGGACAGCAAAATACATGATGTTTCTTTGAATGATTCCATTATCTAACAAACCCAAATCACCACTACCTTTATATGACAAAAAAAATAATAAAAACGTAATAAATTCTATGATAACGTAAACAATTCCTAATTTTTTTTTATAAACTTTCAGCTATTAATATAAAACCGGATCCGGATGATGCGGTTATTTCCCAAGAAATGTCGAACATAATTATGATAAATATTTGTAGATTATTTAGCCAAAATTCATTATGCCAAGTTGTATCAAACAAACATTTATCTCGTCAGATATAAATAATATAAACAGCCTTAGCCAATGTTTGGAAAGCAAAGACATGCCTTCAAATCTACCGACATGCAGCATCCACACGATACGACATTTGTTTAAGTTTGACAAATATTTGGCAAGTGATCACATTATGTGGATTAAACATTAGGATTTTTCACAGGGATCTATTAGAATCCAAATGACGTTTCTATTATTTTTATGTAAAAGGAAACACAAATTTAAAAAAACATCCTGTATATTTCCCATTGCCCATAGCCGACCGACAAATAATAACAAAATGATAAAGTTTCGCCGCCCACCAATTCTTTCTGCTTTATATCAGTTATTTCGTTCCTCATTAACGCATCGTTTAGATACTTTTTTAAACAACTAATGCATGTCTGTGTAAAGCAGTGATCAGTATTAGCGAATACACGCCAGCGAATGTGACATCTGACCTCAATGTCGTTTCGTTTATTAACAAATTGTTTTTGTAACAAAGGGAGTTGTTATTTGTTGTTAAGCGATGGATAACTAGATACGATGAAGTTGCAGTTGAAAGTGCATTTGAGTCTGTGTAGTTTAGTATTGATTCCATATAGGTAGTATGAGAAAAGATTTAACGGATCTAAGGACGATGTAATAGGTATGTTTGTGTTTATAATGATATAATTAGATTAGCAGCCTTAAACAATTATTATCATATTCTTGCAAGTAGTGAACAAGCATTACGAGAAAAATACAATATGTGATATGACAATCTATGTATATAAAAAGATTATTTGCCCATGTGTTGGAACAAACTTTGAATTTATTTTCCATGCCACATTAATTGAAAATTGCTTTTGGAGTGTTTCTGGTTATAGCTAATTTGACAACAGGTCTGATACGAGAAAAACTGTTCAAAAAATAGAAAATTGCAAATATTTCTAAAAGTATTAACGGCAACCCTAACAACACTTATATGGCTTGAAAGGAAATTCCAATTAAATTAACAAAGTTGTAGCTGTTTGAAATTATCAAAATGTAACAGCAAAAATGAAACACCTAGTAAATGTTTTAATTTGTTGGTATACCATAATTTAATGTTACCTATGCCCTTTACATGTACCAAATATCCACTTAATATCACGCTCCTGAAAAGAGTTACTAGCATATCCGCGTACCCTTGCATTTTTTTTCTTTAAAAATTAATATCTCAAAATCTATAACTCCTAGGTACAGGGAGTATTTAATAAAGTGACCCTCAAATTTCACGTAGAATCCGAAAATGCAATAATATACAGGGTGTCCCGTTCATGTTTCAAAAAAGCTTGTATACAAGTTCCTCACGGAAAAATAATAGGGGTACTTCATGTAAAACTTTTCTCTTAGACACCCTGATTTCGAGATACAGTGTGTTGAAGTTGTTACTTAATAATGTCAAAATTTGTCCACGAGTAAACATCAACTGTGCGTTAAGAATAATGTGCAAACGGTTTCATTCTGAAAAGCAGTGTCTAAACGATTCTGTAAACTCTAAGCATACTACAAAAAAGGTATACTTGTCGAAATTCGGTAGCATGTAGCATTTTCGAGAAAAAAGTTGCAAAGAAGCAAATGGGGACAATTTCAGCATCTACTGTAGTATTTCGAGTTTTGCTCATTTATTTAATTGTGCAGCTGTTTTGTTTTGTATGTTTCCGAGTCTGTTTCCTAATATTTTTCTGTTCTTATTATTTTTTTTAAGCATTCATGTCCATCAACAATTATTCATTTTAGTAATGGTAGTGTATTAGTTCACAAAATCTAAAATTAGTTATTAATAGATAATAATTAATTATCATAATCTGTTTATTTTGATTTACTTTTTTAAATGTTAGTTTACAAACTGAAACTTAAAACAAATTTTAATTTTTTTTTTAGTTAATACAATGTTTTACAATTTAACTGTTTCATGTGATACGTAAGAAATTAAAATTATAGTCTTAAATACAAATACTGTTGGTAGCTAAATGTCTTCAGCTCATTCAACGATAAAGTCGTTTTTCAATTTAATATTTTGTCAATGTACTTGTACTGCTTTATGTGAGCAAAAATGCAACTTCATTTTTCTCGAAAATGGTACATGCTACCGAATTTCGACAAGTATACCTTTTTTTGTAGTATTATTTAGAGTTTACAGAACTGTTTAGAAATGTAATAAATTTTTACTTTTTTCGATTGTACTCCTTCAATTACCTGTATCGGCGACACTGCTTTTCAGAAAGAAACCGTTTGCACATTATTATTAACGCACATTTGATGTTTACTCGTGTACAAATTTTGACATTTTTATCTTTAGCCGATTTAAAAATAATTAAGGAAAACTATTTGCAAAGTAACAACTTCAACACACTGAGACACCCTATATAGGGTATCCCATTCAAAATAACAAAGTTAATGTCGACTTCCGGTATAACCGAAGTGCCATAAAGTTCTAAATATTTCAGCTGTGTTGGTCCTACTACCTTTGCTAGGTTTCACATTTATCGAATAAGTACTTTCAGAGATATCGAAAGTGCGATTCCTGGTGGGACACACTGTATAGTTGGTAGTATCTATTTATCTCAAATAGTAGGAACAGTTCTTTTTTTTTTCTAAATTGGCCACGCGGACAAATGCATTACTAAACAAAACCTTAAATAACCAAAAGGGTTATTTAGAATTAGTCCACAAGTCTATAGTTTTCGATACAGGGTGTTGAAATTTAAAAAATATACGGACGGGTGTCATAATCAGGTATACAAAATTTAACTGAAACTAAAACATGTTTTATTAAGTTTTTTATTTTCCATTTTTAAAAATTTTTCGACGTGTGTTCTACAAGTATTTGATTTAAAGGCTTGTTATTTTTTTAAATACAATTTTATAACGGATTTCGGATTTTTCTTTTTTGTTAATGTTTCTAACATATTTTTTTACTTAAGCTGAATTAAATTCTTTTCAAAAATGATACCAAAGTTGCTGCTACTATACGGAAAAAATGGATAATTTTGCAGGCATTAGGCCATGTTTTACACCGTTCAAAATTCTTTTCGTCTTCCTTTTTCTGTCCGTACTGTTAATTTTTTCAGTTTGTTTTAATTTACTTAAATTTGTGTTTTTCAATCTTCTTCTGATGTTGAGAAGGGCATGTATGATTATAAAAAAAACTTTTCTAATAAGTGTTTGAAGAGGTTTGATACCTATAGGATGATGAATTATATTATTTAATTAAAGATGAAAATTCTCTTAGAAATTTAACACCTCTGAATATTTCCAAATGTAGCTAGTAATTTTGTTTGCATACCTATATTTCTGGCACAGCAGAAAGAAAATGAAAGATATCTGTTTTTTGGACAGCGACCCCGAAAACTCCCGCATACCGAGTTTGGCGCGAATGTGTTATTTTTTGAAAATTTGGTCGACCATCTTGGATCCGCCATCTTGAATTTTTGCAAAATTGACCTCGGATCCGTGATCAGCGACCTCGAAAACTCCCGTATTTCAAATTTGGCGCGAATCTGTTATTTTTTTAAAATTCATGATATCTGACCTTAATTGACCTGTTTTTTTTTTAGGTTAGAAAAAGAACCATCAATTCTGACCGCGGATTTACGTTCGGCGAGGTCTTAATTATATACATGAACATTTGAATATAGAAAAAAGAATTTTTGTATTTTTCCTAGCACTTTCACGAATTTTTGCTATTTTTTAACTGTTTTTTGAGGTTAGGAAATTCCTGTGCTGTGATAACTCAATTCTGACTCCGGATTCGTGATCAGGAGACAAAAATACTACAGATAACATATTATGTCGCATGAAAAGTACAGACAACTTTCTTCGTGTCGCTGTGTTATCGAAGAAACTATTGATTTCAGTACAATAGGGAAAATATTCTGATTATTAGAGTGCAAAGTACATATATAACAGCGATGTTGTGACAAACAAAATAATAAGAGGGAATTTTAAGATAGAGTGTGTTCCACGATCGCGTAGTGAAAAGTAAAAACTTTTTTATTTATAAATTTACAAGAAAATCTAATGCTTTATAAAAATTTGTGCCTCTTTTGAAACTCTTAAAAATAAAAATATACCACTTCCTTGATTTTACTTACATTCTCGTACAGGTTGTTCACTCTTTTGAAAAATCTGATAGTGAACCCAGGCAAATCTTTTGAGATATCAAAAAGTGTCATTAAGAGATTTTGTAACTTTATGAGAGTTATACCTAATTACCTTATTTCATAATAAAAATCCATTGAATTCAAATCGGGACTTCTAAGGGAATATAGGATTTCATTTATTGGATTTTAGATATATTCGGAGTCATTTTGAATTATTGAATTCTTTTTGGTATTATAACAAAAATCACGAAACTGAGTTTCGCCTTTACATATTCTCTTATACGGTCTGTTAAAAACGGTAATATTCAGTTACGTTAAAAAGCACAATATTGTCCTGTTACCGAGCCGATTGAGCTTATCCAATCAGCAAGATAGTTCGACCTGTTGTGGAATTAAGAGATTATACATTGGTTTATTGAGCGTTAGGGCCCCACGTTGGGCGCCACGTCGCGGACTAGCCGGTTTAGGCTGTCCAGCTAGCTGCGGATCGCAATTAGTTCATTGGATTTGCCAAATCTTATCATCCTTCGGATCATCCAATGATCGGAGACGCATTTGGGCTCTTCTCTTGCATTTAGCGTTCAAGTTTTAGGATTTTGACTGACCCTGTATAGTTTGTTGCACTGATTTTAAGGAGCATTTTAGTTTATAATAGCTATTTGAAGCCTCCGTAAATCGCCGAAGTTTTTTCGTAGGAGGGCTCGTGTATGGCAACTTTAGAGTTGTTGTCTGGCAAATTAAAAGGGTCTACGCCGTAGGCCGTGTGCTATTTTTACTGAGAGAATACAACTTAAATATTTAATTTTATAGTTTTATGCTTTATTGTTGATTTTTTGAGCATGTTACAATATGTTTGATATATTGGTTATAAACATTGGCATACAGTAATAGTAATAGTAGTAAAATTTTGTGATAAAGGCACTGGCCAGGAACCCATTCCTGGTTACTGAACTGCTGATTCCTATACTTGACGTTTAATCACAAAAATAGTTTCCGCCACTTGCGGCTCTCTTGTAGGTTCCGGTTTAGTGAGGTTTCCTGGACCCTGGTTGGATTCCGCGTTTTACCATTTCGGCATTTCAGAAACACGATATCTTTCTGGGTTGACCATTTTAATGTTGTCGCGCCGCACTCTCTACATCGCCCTGATGGGACTGTAGTCCGTTATGACGTAGTTCTTGACTCTAGTGGGGATGAATTCAGGGACAGTTTTTTCCGGCTTTGTTGTCCCGAATGGAAAGTGTGGTAAATTTTCGAAATTGTGTGAAAATGTTGAAAAAACAAATTCAGATTTTTAGCACCTTAACTAACTGCGATGTACAGCTGCTGAATACGAATTTAAAAAAATATACTAAATACTTTAGATCCGTCAGAGGAGGGGATTATTTACCAGTATTTCTAAAAACAATGAATATTTCTTTCCACTCTTTAGAAACCATTTGAATATAGACAAACAAGACAATTTTGATTATTTGCGATTGTTTTAGAAATGCGGAAAACGCTTATCATTAGTGATAAT